TAATACAGATTCACGTATAAACATGTTATTGATATGCATGTAAAATATATTGAAATTACTGTTGTCATAATGATCAAGGGCATAATTTTAAAATGCATAAAAAATTACAATCTTCCCCGAGAACTTCAATAACCTGCCAGCTTCACCCGGAGGTAGAGGTAGGTCAGGGTGATAACACCAGTGGAAGAGAGGAAGTGGGGAATCATTTCATTGGTCGTATTTTTTACGATTACATTTAGAACGGAATGCTGGAGGAAATGTGTATAACATCCTCAGGTAAGGGACATTATAACCAAGAATACTCACAGGTGTGTGTAGTTCAGAATCCCAACACAACCGGTGCTGCATTATTTAATTTAGATTCGATACTAACTCGTTCGGAAGGAGACGCGGACTTTTATGAGGTGACTGTACCTGTTTTGATTCCTATATAAAGATATTTTTGTCTGTAATAACTGAGATTGAAAAGGCGAAGACATTTTATTGTGGATCCCGTAAACATGAAGCAAATAGAATCTTATAGAATTCAGCGCGCGCGCGCGCACACACACACACACACACACACACACACACACACACACACACACACACACACACACACACACACACACACACACACACACACACACACACACACACACACACACACACACACACAGCTAAATGCATTGACTGAAAAAATGCATTCCACATAGACAACTCACAGCAGATAACCACAACTACTGATCCTAAGATTTGGACCAATTTCACATCTCTGGCATGTTAGATTTCGTGTTGAGGATATGTTAAGTAGCCCGTGCTGTGGTGAGTAGCTTGTGGTGGTCATGCTGTGGTAGTCGTGTTGTGGTAGTGTGGAAGGAGTATTGTGATGGTATGATAGGCGGCTAGGGTTAGTGTTGCAAATGTTTGTAGTGGTGTGGTAAGTATATTGTAGTGGTGTGGTAGGCAGGTTGTGGTGGTGGTGGTAAGTGTGCTGTGGTTGTGTAGTAAGCATGTTGTGGTGGCGTGGTCGGCATGTTAGGAGTGTTCACAGCAGCAACACGGAAGCGGTGGGAGTGACCGAATACACGTGCACCGTCGGGAGGAGAAACAAACATGGAGAGAAACAATAAACAATGTGTGAGAAGAGGCCACTAAAGGATGACTACCACGAGAAGCGTAAATGAAAGGAAAAAAAAATAAACACCCAACTTATGACATAGACCACAGAGGTTCTTCTATGGTTAAACAAACAAAATTGTTTCCATCATTCAGGATTCAGTTTTCTAAGGTCGACGGACACATTCACAGAGGCCCTGGAAATTACAGATCGGTGGAATTGAGAAAAATAAAAAGGTGTCCACAGGAGTTACGTAGAGCGAGTCCCCTTGACACTTATTTCACCAAGTAATTCCTGGTTTTATTGCTTTCACCCGAAAGGAATCCTAGCGTTACCGACCATAAATTAGTAAAACCCCAAAAAAATAGTAAACGGCGTAGAGCCAAAAAATAAATAATAAATGAATAATGTGAAGACCGGAAAAAATGGTTAAGGCCCGACAAGATCAAAATAAACAAATAAAGATGAGGTACCCTATAAAAAATTCAATGACGATCCAGAATTAATCATGAGCTGCATCGGTGAAAACTGTCAGTCAAGGCTGGTTTACGTAGAGCTGACCGATGCAGTTAATAATCTCATTATGACTGGCTGAAGTTCCTATGAATCAGAGGCCGTGTGAGTCACACAACTAGGTTGAGTAAAGCCCGGCGGTTTATGAGTTATTCTTTAGGACGAAAGAGTCTTCAGAAGACATGCGGTTTATCACAACATAAGACGATAATATAATTATTACTTAGTTGGCTAACCGACTTTTCCTAAATGGAGACAAACTTGAGGGTACAAGAGAACCTCACCCAGCACCACCAAAGTGTGGGTAGCGTGCCAGAAGTACAGTACATCTAAATTATCAGGTAAAAGTAAAGTTACAGTGATTAATGACTCTTACTGTGGCACGAGGTGTCTAACTGATGGACAATCGAGGGAATAATGTTGAAGAGATTAGTTGCGAGACTGATACAAAGCTTGCAGGAAGACAGGAGTGAGGCATCCTTCACCTCAGAGACTTACCAGATAAGTCTGTATCCCAGCCTAAGGCAATCCGAGACAATATTATGTCTGCGAACCATAAATCCATGTCCACGAAACTTATATGAGCAGGGATAGGTTGTGGGAGTAGCGGAATGTATTCTCTTGGTGACAGCCTCAGGTTCATACAATGTTACCAGGTTTGTAATAAGGTTTAATGTTTTGTAAATCTGTAACTAACTTAAATCCTGTTTTGCGTATTTGGAATAGTAGCCCGATCAACCCGTAAAATGTTACGAATATTTTAAACATTAGAATTTCGCGTTTATATTGCTATAATATCACGAAACTACAGTAATATGTTAAAGGCATCCTTCGCTGGCTTAGCACAATATAACCTACAATACTGTAGGTTAGATAAGTTTATTTACGTGATCGCCCCTTTATAAAACAAATATCTTAAAATCAATAATTGTTGCAATAATGCACAAAACTCACGACAGTCAGTGGATACAGGTAAGGATAAGTTTTCTAATCTCGCTACTTAAGTCCTTCCTCTAGCTAATACCGTTAATCTACAACAGAACATGTCTCGGATATTGACATTAAAAACATAACAGGTGATAACAAGAACCTTCTTTGATTTTCTCCAATATTCAGGTATCTTAATAGTTAGAGATCTCAGGTATATAGTGTTCACATTCCACTCTGATAGTAGCCTTATTATAAAGTTCAAAAAATCTCTCTCCGATATTCGGTGCCCCTTGTACGGTATAAGTTTAAATTCCACTCTGGTCTTCAGTGGCCACGGTATGCAAGAGGTTTGGCTCTACCTAGACACAGCTATGTTATATTACGTGCAATCCCATCGGGAATTCCTGCGATTGGAAGCTTGACAATTTTTCATCGGTGAAATGCCTTCGTCTTTATGTGACATTATATGTGATTTAGGCGTCCAATGACAGTGAAAAGATGACTGTGCCATCATTAAGTTTACATCAGCAGTTCCATTCACGAGTCTTTAGTCTATGCGTGAACACCTAAGACAAAGATGAGAACATAAGAATGGAGGAAACTGCAGCGGGCCTATTGGCCCATACTGGGCAGTTCCATTTACACCCAACCCCTTAAATATGAATATAGCTTCACTTATTTACATATTAATTGATAATTGATCTTAATATAGCCGTCATTCTACCTTAAAACACCTCCAATGGACTTGTTTTGCTTTAAAATTAAGAAAAAACGATGTTTTTCGCTGAAGATTAAACGCTGTCACTCACATTGTTTACAAATACGATGACTTAGTTTCTCCTCTGTGATGATGTGGCTTCTCCAATGACCACGTTTTGTGTGTTCGGTAACTCATCAGGTCAGGTTCCTCGACGTTCGTGTTCTGTAACTGGGCCGCTCAAGCTACTCCAACGTTCGCTGAAACGCTTTCATGCATATAATCAAATATGTGTGAACACATATGTTTATAAAACAACCACACGTACAAAAGTACACATGCGAAAGATAACCTAAACACACGTACACACAAAGACATATGCCTACACACTCAGAAAACCACAACCTATGCAAACATATACAATCACACAAAATGCGGATGAAGACCTCCCGGGGTGATTAAAACATCCTGGTAAACGAAGTGAGAAGATCCGCGTCACACGTCTCCACACACTCACTCGCCTCCCTGGCAACCATTAGAGCCGCCCCCGGGGTCCGCTTCTCCCCTCCCCCTCCCCGAATGCGACTTTTCGAACCCAAGCATGCAGAGTTACATAAAACTCATCAAGTGGATAATGTGTCAGTTGTATGTATGTACTGGTGGAGAGATGGTTTGTTGGTACGGAATTCCAGGTCTCTTATAAAGAACTCCAAGTAGGATTAGTTTCTCAAGCTTATTACCAAGTACTCTACAATTTATCTCTCCTCCCAGAGTGCAGGAGGATGTTATCTCACCGACTACGAGTCACTGGGAAGATACATACTTGAGGTATCATCAGTGAGTGTCTGCCAGAGATAATGAAACACTGGACTCTGGGTACGATGTTGCTATTTCGTGCTATCCCTAAAACTTTACTCAGTCACCAGGGTCAAAGGGCGAGTCACTACCATTCCTGTCTTCATCATTATCAGTATTATCGCCACTATAATCATCACCATGTTCAAAATTATCATAATTATTATCACCAGCATTATAGCACCAGCATCATCACCACCTTCATCGCTAATCAATATCACCATCGCTACCATCGTTATCATTACCCTCATCACCACTATCATCGTCAACATGACACCCTCATCATCCTTATCACTATCGCCACCACAAGTATCGTCCACTACTCGAGGTTATTGTTTTCATTCCTCAATACCTTTCACTTAGCCTAAGCATCCTAACTAAATCTTTCGTGGGCGATGGTTTAACCTTCTGAGGATCACAGCATGAATTATCGTCCTTAAAGGAAGCTTTATCTTAAATCATCGTCATTAAGAGGAATTAATACTTAAAACTATCGTCTTTAAGGGACTATATTGCTTAAACTATCACCATTAAAGGGTTAAGGACTGTTAAACTGCATTAATTTGATGGGTTTTTTTTTAAAGTTTGGTTAATGCAGACAAATCCTGGGTGTCTTACTGTTCATCCCAGGAAAAACAAACACTGTGGTAGTCTACTTCAGTGTACTCAGGCCCTTAGTGATAAGTATTGACCCTACCACAAGAGAGGCCTGGTTTGTTTTGTTAACAAAAAAAAAGGCAAATTGTTCAGAAGATATCGTCATAAAAACATCCAACGTGAAAATTTTTGACTTTTTCTAAACGTTTACATACATATCATCGACTTAAGAAATCAACGTGTCGCAAAAATAACGTAGTGTCTGGGTAACCGACTCATTGCGGTCTTATATAAGCTGCTCGCTCGCCCCTGTCCAACGTTCACTTGGCCCCAGCCGTCGCAGCAGCAAGTCGCCGCCACCAGACACTCCTTGCCTCAGCATATTACACAATGGCTCCCATCGCCGGCAAATACACTCTCGACTCCTCTGAGAACTTCGATGAATTCATGAAGGCTCTCGGTAAGTTATGGTCTTAAAATTTCTTTCTCTTACTTAAAGCACAGTTTATTTGTTTATTTTTTGGAGTGAGGTTCGAGAGTTTTAGGTCATTTTGTTGTTGTCTTTGGTTTTCGAGTTTGAATTGATCTGGGGGTTTGATACTACAATTTTCAAGGCATCTGAGGCAGTGGCGCCCCCCCCCCCCTCACTCTCCGTACTAATTTACGTTACTAGTATTTGTTGTATGTTTGATCATATTAGAAATCATACAGTATTACAAATCTTCAAATACAATCTCGATTATTAAACCTTCCGTACAGTTGTCATCTATTAGTATTTTTATGTTAGAGTCTAGAGGTGCTCCCCCGTCAGAAAATCCTTTCTTGCGCCACTGATCTGCGGTTATTGAGGTGCCTGAGGCCATACTTGTTGAAATATTTAGTACTTTAAGGCAATAATTATACGATATTATCATTGTTTGAGGGAATCAGTACTGCTGACTGAGCCCATAGTTATAAGTTTCGATTACTAAGATCGTAATTATCAATATTTCCTGTAACTAAGGCCGTGGTAATACAGCTTGGAGTAACTAGGGCCGTAGCTATCAGAACTTTGCAGTGATTAAGGCTGGAGTACGGTGTCTCATAATTAATCAGTGATAATGTGTTGCTGCGTCTGCCCTAGGGTTTCCTTCCCGGGATCCTGGGCGTAAGTGGTTATGTTTTTTTTTCCCGGGAATTTGGTTCAAATCCTGGGATTCTTATTGTTATTCCTTATCTCTGATTTGCACGATGTAAAATACAAAAACGCAGGTCATTCAAGTGTTCTCTTTAAGTTTTATGTAGAGTAGAGCTTCCAAATGGCATAGAATAGTTATTTTTTTATAATGGCTAACTTTGAACGTCATTCCAAATATCGTTGAGTTTCTTTTGTGGCTAACAGAATGAGATTGACTGTTTGTGCTTCTTGAAGAGTTATTTCATGAACAACTTTTGATGTGTGCGTGACTGTGTGGCTTGTGTGCACAAATGATTTTATGCTATTATTTTTTTCACAGGTCATTCAAGTGTTCGCTTTAGGTTTTCGTAGAATGTGGCTTCCAAATGGCATTAAATATAGAATTCTAATTTTTTATAATAGCTAACTTTGAATGCCATTCCAAATGTCTGTGAGTTTCTTTTATGGCTAACGGAATGAGATTAATTAAAATTTTGCTTGTTTAATCATATTATGTACCTACTTTTACATCAGTATGCAACTTAATAAAGAGAACTTTGCTTCAGTGTAATATAATTTATCAAATCAATTGCCTATCAAATAATCTACAGATACTACACTAATGAAGTATAGGGTTAGCATATAGCATTAGTTAGTACAAATATCACCTGATGCGAGAAATCCCGGGAAATATCCTGGTTTGTCCCAGAATCCCAGAATGCTAAGAAACCCCCAAAACAGGAAACTCTGCCCCTAATCTTAGTAGTACAGGTATCTCCCATCGCGTACTTTCCTTACAGGTGGCTAAGGGAGTCTTTAAGAATGATAAACCAGTACTTTGTACCTCCAGGGTATGTTGCATTAGCTGTGAAATTTTTCGAAAGACTTAAAATAACTAAGAAACAGCTAAAACATAAAATAAGAAACGATCTGCACAATGGTTGGAGTTGATTTACGCGATGACGCATGTGAGAAGCTGCAACCGCACTTCTTGGACACACCGTGATGTAATTCAACCTAATCCGCTTCGAGATTGGGCCTTGGAATAGGGGGTTTACATCCGCAGGTCAGACTGAATTGCACCACATTAGGTTACGAGCTCACTTTCGGGGTTCAGACTTAACATGAAGTTGTGTGCGTGTTTGTGTGTGTAAACGCGTTATTATAGCACGATGAGACAACCCTTGAACTCAGATGGTTTGGGAGGGGAAGGACGGGGCTGATTAAAGGGGGAGGGGGGGGGGGGCAAGATGAGGAATATGTTATCAAGATGACCTTTGACTTGCCCCGTGTCTGTGGATAACTTACATCTGCCCTCTGCCAGCACATAGACAACCCGGAACCTGACCGCATACTATTTGTAAACGACCAGACTCTCAGACTCTTCCTCACTACATCCTGGCTTGACCCAAAACCTCCTCCTACACGTTGTCCCCTTTTGGCCAAATGCCCCTCCTCCAAGAGACAGGCCCTAGCAGCACTTGACATAGTTAGGAACCAACTGCCTAACTAAAAAGCAAGTGACAGGAGTAAAGGTTGAGAGGAAGGGCAATAGGTGGATGGCAGCGAGCTGTAGGAGTAGTAATAGGGACCAACCACGTTTTACTTTAAGAAGATGAACCTGTACAGGGAATCCTCAATATATGCACTTACCCTTCCCCCATTACATGTAACTTGCGAGCACAACAAATGACCCCCAGGCACTGATTCTCGTTAAGCAAATAAGTCAAAGGCGGCAAACTAGAAATCCGCATGCTTCCCTATGATGCGTTTTTGGGCTTCGCCTTTCACAAGATGCAAAGAGAGTACCTACTAAACAAACCCCAGCGCTTGTGAGGCAGCTCTGAAAATCTGAATCCGACAATTAATAACGCCCCAACCAAACAATACCTGTAATATCTGTTCATCTTATCATCCAGCGGATGTCACCAGATAGGTCCAGAGTGTGTGTACCTGATGACTTCAACGTAAAGAAAAAAAAAGCTATTTTATGGATCGCTTCAAAATTTGCCGCCCTAATATATTTCACCTGATGATTAAACACATTGTCGCTACCTGGAGGTTAAGTTGGGTTGGGTTTGATGAGGTTAAATTAAGCTAGATTGGTTAGGGTGGTTAGCTTCAAGGTGAAATAAGCTGGTTATAACTGCACTAGATTCCATGACGTAACCAATATCGCCCTCAAGAGGTTCAGCGGTTAAGGTCTACTGGGAAGGTCAAAGTATGGGAGTACCCAATAAACTAGCCCCAGCGCTGCGTGGGGGCAAACCTGAATCTGAGAAGGAAGAGGGTCGCTGTTACCAAGGTACCTCAGGATGACATAAAAGATAAACAGCGTTATCTGCCTTGGCTTAATGTTAAGAACCGATAAGCTGGTGAAAGACAACACGGTGTGTGGGATTTATTATAGACCATCATGATACGTGAGGAAGTAAAAGTCAAAGTACTAAACTTATCACAGGTTGGACGGCATTAAAATTAGAAGAAACAAAATATAAACACATAAAAATTACTTTCAAATAACGAGGACGTCAGGAGTGATTTTCTTGAGTGACTACAATATGCAGTAGTCAGAGATAAGAAATCCCATCCTGACCAAATATTTTAGTTGGTATTAAAGTGTTTCAATAACCTTTAACATCAGCAAGCCGACCCTAGAGCTGTTCTAGTTGATATATGGATGTGACAACACACAAACATCAGTGTGTAAATAAATACAGACCACATAGTTACTTAGTTACTTGAAGGATACTGTAGTTGTCTAGGCGCACTACAGAGAATGGCTCAAAAAACGATCCCACGGAGGTATCTTACTGCGTTCATAGTAACTTGTATAGTCAATGTGTGAAATTCGTAACAGTCTGCTTATGTTATCAGCAGTTGAGTGATTGCCTCGCATATCAACTTCACATAAACACATTTCCACAGTGGTCCTGGGAAACTGGTGGTCGTGTCTCACCGAGTAAACCTCACCAGCATGCCTCCAGTTTTACTTATTTTTTTCTCATCTTGTATTGGTATCTCGATGAAGAACATGTACAGTACTACTATACATACCACGGGGGCGATTACTTACACGGTAAACGTAGGATATTAAACTATACAAGGCAAAGATAACCGAAAGAAGTATAGCGCATCGTAACGCAAAGCTTGTCTTCTGAAGCCAAAGTTTGTTTAGACTCGACCATAACTAGCACACTTTGTTTACAGCCGGGACCAGGAGGGTTGGACTTGGAGTGGGGGGGAGGATGGCGCAGGGAGAAAGGTGCCGACACAGCTGCTTACACGTAAATAATGTCCTTGCCTACTGCAATACTTCCTGACGGGCCAATCAGCAACAGGAAATGTGTGTGTGTGTGTAAGGTTTATTTGGGGAGGCGAGAATTCATCACAAATTCCACGAAAAGTGAAAAACGAAAATCGTAATATTGCATTCAAACCAGACTTTACAAATCTAAATAATAATTATCCCAGTTTAACTTAACCAAACAGATTAACCCCCCCTAACCTAGCTAACAACCATCCCCAGGATAATGTTAGTTAGAGTGGATTTAGTTTGGTTGCTTTGCTAGGACTCTCGTTCAAACATTACATTATCCTACGCTACAGAATATCTAACCCGGGAAATACTTCACTGGCGGGGGGCGGTCGTGGAGCATCATTCGTCGTGTTTATAGTACACCCTGCCCCAGTAGTCTGGTGTTGCTCACAAGAGTACACTCTGGCTTACTCCAACACTGTCAGACCTTGTGATACTTCTCAGTATTTGACCCCTGTGACCCAACATTTTGGAGATAACGCCATATTTAATAGATGCGAGAAATTTTAAAGTGTTTACAGTGAAGATTATTATAAGAAGGTTAAACTTGATAACAAACTAGAGGGGTTAAAACTAAGATCTTATACGTACAGTGTCTAGATATTCCTTCTCTATTACGACTCCTCGAAGGAATTATTCTGCCAGGTTATTTCTCTAGTCAACATCCAGCCCATCCATCCATCAGTTTCTTTATAGTAGATAACTTAACATGTCCCCTGCGTCCTGAAGAAAAAAATATACGTATGTAAAAAAATCACCATAAAACAGAATGAAAAAATTCCTATTGGTGATTAAACAACATACATCAATTCCTTGACAATCTATTCATTGTTATTTCAATTTACTGGTATCTATAGCCAGTTGTTGATTTAGCTCGACTGTAATCCGCTGTAGCCTGCCCCTTCCTACACCCTGCATTACCACAAGATATCGTTCACTAACAACAAGAGGTGGCTTCATACTTACTCTCTACCTCTTACGCATTAATTACAAAACAATCCAAACACAGAGAGATAATTCGTCAATATATAAATGAGAGTATAGAGTTGTATTGCCGTCAGAGTAAATCCGAAGTGATAAGGAACATACGAACCTTATACAAACTGACTTGGAAAAAGGGATTGATTATACATATATTTTTTTTCATGTGTCTTTATTCATGGCTGCTGATCACGTCTTCAGCTGTAATCATCCTCTCGTCTTTTTTCCGCTAATGAATACTGTACCGGAGTTCATTAGCAGCTCCTTGTATCAACACACTCCTCCCCACACCACTAATTGATACCCAACTTAACACCACTGCCACTAGTCTACCTACTCAATGGCATCCCACTCATCAATCAACACCAACTCAACACCATAACTCACGAATTAATATCCCACTCAACCCCCCCCCCCACTCACCGTCACCACTCAACATCCTCACTTCCCACCACCGCCACATTAACACCCCACTCACCACCCTCTCCATCACTGCAGGAGTAGGTATGATGTTACGTAAGCTGGGTCAGACAAGCAAGCCCACGGTGGAGCTGACGGAGAAGGACGGTGAATGGAATATGAAGACCAGCACCGCCATGAAGACCACAGAGATCAAGTTTAAGATTGGACAAGAGATCGATGAGTCCACCTTCGACGGCCGCGAGTGTAAGGTGAGTGATAGTGGTTGTGGTAGGTGGTAGGTGGTGGGGTTGCTTGAGGTGGGTGATGGTGGTGTGGGAGTGTAAGGTGAGTGATAGAGGTGGTGATTGTGCTGGTGGTAACTGGGGGGGGGAGGTTTGGAGGGGGTGATGGTGGTGTGGGAGTGAATTGAGTGATAGTGGTCGAGGTGGTCAAGAGCGGATCCAGGGGGGGTCCCCCCCCTCCCCTTTTCACCAGAAAATTATTTTTTTTCTTTAATGCAGTAGTGTACTCAGGTATTTTTGTATACTAAAAAGTATTTATTATTGACTTCAGAATATCTCTTAATATCAAGTGCGCATAGCATCAAAATGGCCTCAAAATGCCCATGAAATTGGTCAGATTTCAAAGAAAATTCTGGGGGGAGGGGGGCTTACAGCTCCCCCCCTTCCCTGGATCCGCCCCTTATGGTGGGGGGTGGGTTGTTTGGGTGGGTCATGATGGTGGGGGAGTGTAAGGCGAGTAATAGAGGGGGTGATTGTGGTCGAGGTGGAGTGTAAGATGGGTGATGGTAGAGAAGTCTGAATTAATTTGTCTAATTTAGTTTTAGTGATACTATAATTGTAATTTGTCAATCTCGTTATCATAATCAATCTAATCTGAATAGGTAATCCACCACCACAAGTAAACTAAACCTTACAACCAGTCATCATAACTAATTTGTATTATATAAACAAGACCCTTTATTTACTAATCTAATATTACAACTGACCTGTACCCCAAATAACAGCACCCAGATAAAGTCACAGTTCATGCTCTTCATTAAACCAACAATAAGGTTGTTTGTTCAAGACATTTATTATATAAAGCCATAACCTGGAGCAGTAAGTCTTATTGTGCGTATATCTGGTGTTACAGACAGTGTTCTCGATGGACGGTGACAAGCTGGTGCAAGTGCAGACCGCGACCAAAGGCAAGAGTGCCAAGTACACCAGAGAGTTCACCGACACTCACATGATTATGGTAAGTCCGTATTGGTAAGAAGAAATTTCACATAAGCAAAGGTTCAGCCATCACAACTATTCAAGTATAAAAAAACCCAGACGTAACACAGAAATAAGACAAAGAACGTAAAGTACTGTATAAGTGCAAAGTTAAGGAATACTGAAACTGATAGAAAAATCGTGTCTTCGAATTTTGCTAAAACATTTTTTACTTCATCTTGTTCATATTTCACCTCCAAATTTGTGTTGGTTGAATGAGTTCTTTGTTAATGTTCAAACTTTACTTTATCCTCTTCACCAAGCTTGGAGCAAAATTTGATGTTAAAAGACTGGGAGCTCCATTCTGTTTTGACAAAGTGGAATTATTTATCACGTTCTTAAATATTAAATTCGGAGGAAATTTTAGAATACAAATTTCTGAGAATCCAAGGAAATTAACCTTGTGATGGGAGGGGGGGGTTTACTTCAGCTGCCTGGCAACTAATGTGCTTCATGTATAGTATAATATTGGGTGTTGGCACCAGAGGGATGGGGGGAAGGAAGGAGGGAGGGGTTACATATACACAGTGAGCAGCCACCACTCATTTCCTCACACCTTCATCAAATAATATCATAGTTGATCATTTAAATTGTACTAATCTGTTTATTTATTAATAGTTTCTAGTCTGTCTTTTCACTCGTTCACAATTTTGATGCGATCTTCACCAAAATTCCACAACTGGTTAGCTTAAATAATAACTCGTCATTGCATAATTTTGGTCAAGATGGTGAAAGATAGTCATTCCAAAATGTACACACAGTGGATGTAAGGAACATCCACCATTACATACAGTATAAGACTCCAAAACCAAACTATAGGATTTCTTTAATCAGCAAAAATTAATTATAAGAAACTCTTATAAAAAAACTTAAGACTTAGTACAGTAAATGACTATTCATAACAAAACTTTGGCACTCTTCACCTTTTTTCTGATGTATAAGAGTGTCTGAAATATTTCCTATTCAAATAATGTTAACAAGATATACATATTGCAATACTGTCCTTGCTCTTCAGTTGTCAGAGTGTGATGGCGTGGTCTCCAAGCGTACCTACAAGCGCCAGTAATATCAACATTTCCAGTTACAGCAGCAGCGTCAGTGGCAACACAACCTCAAATCCACAATCCCTCGCCAAAAGTCCTCAATTTCTCAGGTGCCCACCCGCTATCCACATCCATCATCCCTCCTCATGATCAATGCCTCACTTCCCTAGAGCCCTGACTCCTGTGTCCTTACTTATTATGAATATTTGTAGACATTTTCATTTAAGGTCATTAACCTTGTGCTGACTAAGCCACTCGACTTTTAAACTCATATCATTATAGGCTAAGAAAACCCAGAAATGTCCTAAGCCTAATGATACACCCATTCCTATGACACATAAAACTTAGTAGAGTACTGTATGTAATTGTAAGTCTTCAATGACACTCTTCTGTATGTCTTCTTTTTACATAATAAATATTCTGGTAAGTCAACAGGATCCTTTTTTTTTAATATGTATAATTTTTTTACAAGAACCGTATGACAGTCTAAATACTAAGAAAGGTTGCCAGCATGGAACACGCTAGTCAAATATGTTCTTTTTGTGCATTTTTGATTGTGAATAAAGTTTTGAACTAATTTGAACATTTTAATTAAACCAAGTGACACTTGTAAATAAGGAAAATGTATCAAAATCAGAAGAAGTTGGAAAGTTACAGGAGTGACCAGGACCAGTTTTAGGAAAGAGGTCAAAGATTTGAATTACTACACTAATGTTCTTATTACTTCAGATAAATATTGTGTATGGTGACTTTGTTCTATGAGTTAAAAAAAAAATAAACTAACAGTTATCTGTATGCCACATTTGTGTGAGCTAGATCAAAGGAAACAGTGACCTCAAAGAAAGGAAGGATATCCCAGCAGAAAGTGATTCAAGACAGGACAAAGCTAAGTTGATAAGTAGAAACATACATACACTCACGTGCTTAAATCCTTAACCTACAAAAACAAAATCCTTAATCTTCACATCATCTATATAGTTCCCACTTAGTACACATGATAACTTCCCTAAGTAACCATGTCTCAGATTTCTTATACGATCACAAAGTTTTCTTTTCATTTCACATACAGTATTGTACTTTTCCATCATAAAGCTTTCAGATAAATAACCAGAAGGGCATCGCTCTCCCTCGACACACTTCTCCAGTTATTTTATTTAAACATAACATTTAGAAACATCAGTCAAATTGAGCTGTGGTTTGTGCTGTACCCAGAATTAGAATGTTTGTCAGGATATTTAGCAATACCCCTGTAAAGTATAGTACATTGTTAAGGTGTGTTAACAAAAATATGTTCTGATGATGCTTAAACCTTACATAACAGTACCAATGGGTGTATTTGGATGGAAATGCCATCCCTCAGTGACCTCCACCACCAAGCACCGGAAAGGTTTGGCCGTGGACTACCGCACCACCCTCGGCATCGCCACCTCCTGCCACCTGCAGCCCCCCACCCAACTCGCGCAGTCCGCCACTACAACAAAATTCAGCCCATAAGAGCCCGCACCGATAGATATAAGAACAGCACCATCCCATCTATTGTTAAAATAATAGACAACTACTGATTTATGTACTGTACAGCCCTGTAAATGTATTCAATACATATTATATCATTATGTCTAAATCACATGTAAGTCTGTGTATTTTCAGCCACCGGCTGCAACTCTATTAATAAACCATTTATTATTATTATTAAATAGAAGTAAAGCACATAAGATAATAATAACAGTAAATTAAAATATATATACAAATACAAATCAACCTGGGTGCAAACACATAAAATAAGAATAACAATACAGTAATTAAAACATATTCAGGTACAAATATACTTCTAAATAACTGTACACACACAACACACACACACACCATCCTCATCACCGTCTCCTGCTACCACCTGAGATCCCTCGTCCACAAACAGTATTACTGTTGGAAACTACAACTGCATACAGCCCATACAACCAAATACTGTACAGATCGTTCTAAAGAACAGCCCAATTTCAACCATTGTGAAAATTATCAATAACTCATAGATGACCTATGTGTTCATTCCTTGCCAAACACAAACTATTACTACTACTACTACTACTAATTCGACACTGCAGTACTTTGCTGTCACTTGGAATCAAGTATGACGATCATCCAGCTATGAGACAATGATATGAGTTATTACGGATGTCACCTTCGTTGGTGAGCTCTGAGGTGCGTGCGAGCGCTTACACACACACACACACATGCATGCATCTCCGACTAATAAAATGCATGGCATCTAGGTAGTAGGTAGTAGGCAGCTACCAAACAGGGAGGTACTACCGCCTGGGAAGATATTGGAAGCATAATGTGTTGTCTAATGGTAGACCCTGCTGCCATATGGCATCACAAAAATTGTGACCAAGTCCCAGGTTGCTGATCTGACTTTCTGCTTCATTTACACGCAATTGCAGGGTCTCAATTGTTTCTCTTACCATTGACAACACAACATACATATATCGTTTCTCACTTTTGATCTTTTTTTTCATTTTTGTATTTATAGTTCTTTATTATTATTATTATTATTATTATTATTATTATTATTATTATTATTATTATTACAGTTACTGTATTATTATCATTATTATTTTATTATTTTATTTTTGTTTGTTTTATCATAAATTCTATTTATTATGAATTATTATGACTATTATTTATTATTATTATTATTATTATTATTATTATTATTACATTTTCGCCCCCCAGGCCCCAATGTGGGTCAGTGACCTGTGCCCGGGTGGGCTAATCCCCGTAAAAAAAAAAAAAAAAATCCGTCTTAGGAAGGAGGGGGAGGGGGTAAAGACTAATTTTTTCATCTTTTCTTTCTTCTGTATCTCCATTATTCTTCGTACTTCTAATCGTCCTGGACAAGACCATGAGGTTTCCAGCTAATTGTCAGCCCAGGCTCTACTCCTCGATGTGTGTATATGGTGATAGTAACGACCAGGGCGAGACATACGCTTTATCAGATGATAAGAGACGCCCATCACCCTACCCTGCACCTACACGTTAATACTGTACTATGTTTAGACAACACTCAGGGAGTCCCATTTGTGTACATGAACTAAAGTGGATTATTGAAAAAAAAAAGTTAAGCTACAGTGTATGGAACTTGGTTAAGCTAGAGACTCAAGCCTAGAATAAACAGATCTCGGTTAAGTTACAAAATACACACTTGGGATACCGAAGCTACTGTATATAGGACATAGTTATCTAAATTACACATGGGTTTCTACAGTATACTAGTTGGTTTAATTAAAGACAACTTTAACAAGGTTTAAAAGAGAAGTACTGTAGTTAATTTCTACATCTTCTATTACTTACGTATACATGGTGGATGGGTTTAATAAAAGGATTATGTATAAATATATATACAGGGTTTATATAATGCGCTTGGGTTTTGAAAAAAAAGATTCATAATACTGTACTGAGCTGTATCATCATGATTTACGCATGGCCCTACAAAGTGTTAGCAAGACTAAAGTACAGAAAAGATCTTTTGTAGAAGAAAAAAAAAGATTGAGGGGTCCAAAAATACACCACCTTGAAACACACCAGAGATGATTGGATCTGACGTCACTGGAAAAACCATCAGCAACATAGGAGGTTTATCCTACACAAACTTCCATTTTATATTATTGTCATCTTTTTCTCTAACTTCTTGATATGTGTTTCATCAGTAATTCATAACAATAACTTTTTTTATCTATTCATGTATTTGTTTATTCCATATATTGATTGAACGATTCCACCTGTCTATCTGAATGACTTTATTGATTCTAATATTAATAAGATATTCATTTAAAGAATTCACTGCCTGAGCTGAACATCACAAAGTATGGAGTTGAGACATGTGTATGGCTGGCTAATCTCACCATCAGGTGTGTGAGATAATGAACTGGGAAGTCTTACTTATTATCTTTATCGTGTAACACCTGTTTGAGCCTCTCCTTGTCATGCTGACCACTATCACCACCAACACCACCACCATCACCACCAACACCCATCTTTCACTACTATTACCATTCACAATCTCCATCACCATCACCACCACATCACAACATCTCCCCCACCATCACAACCACCACTACTACTCACACGTTCCACCATCACAACCATCACTACCACTCACACTCTCCACCACCATCACCACCATTCACACTTTCCACCATCAACACCAACACCACCATATCTCATCCTCTCCACAATAACTTTCTAACCACCGCTATTCACACACTCCCCCACAACCACTACTACTCACACACTCCACAACCACCATCACTCACACACTACATCACCTCCACCACCACTCACACACTCCACAACCACCATCACTCAATCTCTCCGCTACCATCACACTCACCCTCCATCATCACACCATCACTACTCATCATCTCCACCTTTCCTCACACACGCACTATAATACCCCCACCCTTTATCAACCAAATAACCAAAAATTGTGCAATGCCAAACTACATTCAACATGTACTAAACCAAAACACAGTGTGAAATTTAATTGAAACTTAAAGTGTGTAAACCTAAGAAGCACCAACACAATCTATTTGTCACTTTTAATCAGTTATCTTTCCTTGACAGATGCAAGCGTATGAAAGTGATGTATCTACTGGGATTTTGAAGAGAAATTAACAACTCACTTATACAGAACTTGGAATTTAAAACCTCCTGAAATATGTACTTAATGACACATGAATTTGTAACAAATACTTTACAGGTACCTGATATTTCATAGCACACTCAGTCAGATATATTAGGCAGATACAAATCACAATATATAAATGCAGAGAATATAGACGATAGAAACAGAATTACAGTACAAATTTACCATCAATGATAGTTGGAGTCAAGACTTGTAGCTTTTAAAAGCCTGAATACCAAATTAAAAACTAAATGTGGATCTAATGTTACATCATTTTGTAAAGCATGGACTCAGTCTTCACAATATATATGGTTCATGGATCTCCTGACTTGGACTCTTTCATACAAGAAGAAACCTAACAGTTAATGTACTCTAACTAGAGACCGTACACTTACTTACTCTACATGTACAGTATATCACAGAAATGCTCAATTCTGTACAGTAGTAATAAGAACATCTTAGGCTGTACTAAACCCTAGTAATAAGTATCATAAGCCAATATTTACGAGATTTTCTACTCTACAGTAGAAGGAAAGATCCCAGCAGTGGGATAGCATATGTTCTATAAATCATTCCTTATGATGATGTGATTTTAGTGACACTGACAATCAGTCAAGCTTCTTCTTGGTTAGTCTTATCTATAGAACAAAAAATACAAACATACAATACAGTGAAACCACCATAATACTTAATAATATGGGCTCTAGCCCTTACGAATTATGAGATTTTATAAACTATGTGGGACATCTTTTCCCGAGGGAAAAACAAACAAAACAACGGTACTTTCCCGTTATCTGCCCCAATCAAAAGTTAAACGTTTCTAAGTACAGTACAGTACAGTAGCAGATTCAGGGTTATCAGACACCGAGACAGGTGGTTGCATCCCTATGGCGATA